GGGGCGGCGCCTAAGTGGGGATTTCCAATTGACTTATCTTAGCAAGGGAAATCACATCGGGCCTGTGCTTTTGTGAGAAAAATCCCCCCCAAAAGACTCAGACTGAAAACTTGTAGTTTCCTACTAGACACCTATTTTCACCTGTGATGTAGGTTAGGGGACATAGATTTAATTTCAGTGAATGAGACACGATTGGCATGAATGATAGGGAGACAGCCCCTGACTGGCTCTTGAAGAATTCCCTACTGCACTGGGGAAATTATCTGTTTCAAGTGGCTAACCAAAGTAGCACTGCATACTTTCCTTTCTATGCTTTCAACCAAATCTAAATACTTTTTTAAATAGAGAGACATCCAAATTTCCTGTGTTTCAAAAATTACGCATATCACGGCTCTTCACAGTTAACCTCAGCGTGAAGCCTATAAATATTCTGTGGTTGTAATTCTCACGTAACAGACAAACCGAATATTGGTTGCAAAGCACAAAGAGCCAAATCAATATCACGCGCAGCTCATATATTTATTATTATTACTATTATATTATTAAAGATTTAGGACTTTGGCACGAAATACATAGACTGTATTAAAAGATGGACCTTTTTATATATGGTCTTCCATACATTGAATCCGTACCGAGACACCGGTCATTTAGTCCCGAGTTGCACGCTCAAAAAATACCAACGTTTCACTGTCCAAAACGAAAACATAAAAATATAAAAGGTTGGATTAGTTTCAGTTACAGTTGTCACGAAGGCAGAAAATAACTGCAGAACTCAAAACTATATTTTATTCACTCGTTTATGTGTCCTGTAAACACGTAAAGTTGAGCACTTTTACATTATGAGTCTAGCCTGATGGATATAATCAAACAAAATGATAAGCACCTTAATGTTTCTCTTCCATAATCAAAATAACACAGTTATGATCACACATCACATTTAGAGACGTGAAAAATCTTCTCATGTTGTTTAATTGGGACAGATTTCGGTTGTTATGCAGACAGAGATTCTGGGGGGAAGATTCTAAAGTTTCCTCCCTTATGAAAGCAACACTGCATGTCCCACAATAGGATGTTCTGGACTTGCCCATTTAGCATTGCACATGCCTAACACCAGTCAGGCATGCGCTCCTGGAAAACACTTTGTTAACTCATGCAGAAAACTCTGCTGAGATTTTTGGGAGGAATTTTAGGAAGTTTTCTTGGTTTGATCTTGCTTGGGATCTTCTTTTTTTTAAAAGGAAATTCCTTTCTGTTACACAAGAAGGTAAAAAGGTGCGTGACAGAGCTGCCTGTATGTGCTCCCCTGACATTTCGCATGAAAAAAATCCCAGGATCACTTCTGTTTGCATTGTAAAAGGTAGGCTTGGTGAAAACATAGCAACGGTATCCAAGAGCAGCAAAGCTTTCACACCTCTGTGGGGATTCTCAGTAGAGATTGCACAAAGAAAACACACACACCCGGAGGAGGGTCTGTGATGTCACTATCTAGAAGCCTGCTGTATCCCTGTCTGAGAGTGTGTGAGAGTGCGTCACATCAGAAAAACGTCAAGCAAGCATGCACGGCTTTTTCTGTGTCCTTTAGAAATTCCAGACATACTTTAACCGCTGCCAAGTATCAGAATGAGGAATCTGTGGACAAACTGTTCTTGCAGACCTCGATGTTTTCTTCCTGTTGCCGTGATTGTGTGCTTTTGTGTATATATGGTCACACATTCACCGTGTGTGAGAAATGCCGGGACTTCCACTTTACGTTTATGAAAGCTGCCTTTTTTTTTTTTGGTGAAGCTATGCAAGCGCTCTCGTCTCCACGGGCCCTGTGTTTACCGCTGGTTTCCATGGACACCAGCCACTGACGCTGTACATTGCCCTCTGTCTGCGTGTGGGTAAATTACCACTTATCTGAGTCAGTAAAATGCCTCAAGGGGCTTCACACCTCGAAAGTCAGGAAACTTTCCCACTTTCGTAACTGACCAGCTCCAACCTCACCCTGTGCCGGTTCATTAAGCCCAAGCTGAAACCGA